CATTTAATTTGAATTAATAGTTTGCTATTATATACAATTTTCCCAACTTAAAATCAATGTGTATTGTGAGAATAGTCCAACATCACTCAATCATGAGCTTAACATTATTAGGTGTTGGTGGAATGTTTTGTTATGGCCATATGGGCCTAAACTGGTTTTATTTTGGGAAAATTGTATAAAATAGCAAATTATTAATTCAAATTAAATGCTATAACCATAGTTTCATTTAATTCTAATCTGTAGCAAACACTTGTCATTCGCCTCGCTCCCCAAAAATCTCGGTCGCCACTCTCCCTGATCTCGCTCGCCACTCTCCCTTGCCTCTCTCACTTTATACAAACACAAATGTATAAATTGGGTTTGTCTTTGAAAAAAATGAGAGAAAACTGTATATACAAATACAAATACAAATACATATGTTTTCGTCATATACACTTATAATTATACAAATACAGATCTTCTCCTACTAATTCTCTTTTGCCTTTTTCTCTTTCTCGCTTTATACAAACACAAATTATACAAATTACAATGTATAATTTGTATTGTATAAAGTGTGAGAGAGAGAGAGATTTGATATACAAATATTTTATTTCTATTCAATTGTATACAAATTCAAATTTTATGCAGATATACAAACATACAGAACATATGCATATACAAATTCATAGACACATACGCCTGATTTATACAAATCGCTGCGATTTATACAAATCAGGCGCCTGCAATTTTTTTACAGATCTGTTGCTCCATAGCAAAAATAAAATTTGCTATGCAAACTATAACTATAGCATACAAATATATATGATTTTTATGTTTGCTAAACCTAAAATTTACTCTTTTATTTTCAACCTTTTTTTGATTCGGTAAGTGGTGCGTGTAATACAATCAGTTATATATAGCTAGGGGTAAATAAAGCTTTATTTATTATCCAATTTCATTTTAAATTCGTGCCACCAAATATATGAATCCATTTTCTTTATTGAAGCTTAGTTTTTTTTTTTTTAATTTTTATTGAAGCTTAGTTGATTTTTGTAAAATTCGTTTCTCTTATGATCGATGAAGCAAAAGGTTTTTTTCAATATTGAATATATGAATTATTTTATTCATAGAGTCACTACTTGGAATTGAGTCATGGTGTTCCAAGTCATGAGTTGAAACTTGAAAATGGTAAAAAATAATGTGTCTACAGATTTTTCATATGATTACTTTCTATTTTTTTTTGAAGAAAATTGGATAGACAAAAAAGGCGACTTTATAAAATTATAATAACTATATATCAATTGAGTGATCACATGAGAAATCGAAGAAAAAGTAGGAAGACATTTGCATATGAAGGGAAAATCATAGGATTCTTCATTTGTTAATTATCACTATACATAAATTTGAGATCATATTTTGCAGTTTGATTTGGATAGAAGAGTCCAAAGTGATTTTCTGTGACTTCTCCTTGCTTTTGATTTTCATCAAACATTGCAAACAAATAAGTTTCTATGATCCTTCCTGGTTTTTTTGGTGTTCCAACCCCGCTTTTTACATGATTAACCAAATTTCTATAATAAATTTGAGCATTTTCGAGAGTTGCTGAAGGGTGTCCGTTAGAAGGCCAACCAGTTTCCGATACAACAATCTCCACATTTGGTCCTCCGGCTTTCTCTATAGCAAAATATGTAGAATCCAAAAGAGCATCGAAAAGATTTTGATATCCTATCGAATTTTCACCTTGTTGGTTGAAAAGTGCATAAGAAAGTGGAATATCAACCATGTTATAAATATGGCCAAAATAAGGGTAAATATTGGCTAAGATTGGAAGGTTATTTCGCGCTAGAAATTCAATTATAGGGTTAATGAAACCCTTAAATTCTTCGCGAAAGGTACTATCTTTGGGTGGATAGGTGTTGGCTAACAACCCTGAATATGTCGCAGTTGAGACCTTGATCTTATCTTGTAACCCTGCTGCTGATAACGCGTTGTAAACATTTTTCATCACGGGAAGAACAAATTGCGAAAATTGACCATTAGATACTTCATTTCCTATAGATATATATTTGAATTTAACATCTGGGAAATGATTTTTTATATTATCTTGAACCCAACCATTAGCATTTGAAGGATTGGTTAGGGCTTCAAGATCTTGATTTGGGACATCAAGAATTATTTCAATGCTACTTCCTTTAAGAGCATTGAAGACATTTGTATCTGGATAGTATATTCTCATCTTTCTAATCCCATTAGCCTTGTATAGATTTATGACATCTTGATCTGATGGTAAATTGTTGGCAATTTTCCCATAACATACTCCAATATTAGAATATGCCCCTATAACAACAACAACATATTCAGTGTCATTTCATAAGTGGGGGTTTAGGGAGGATGTGTGCACCTACACAACCTTAATTACTCCTAACGACCTTATAAAGGTAAATAAACTGTTTTCGATAGAGTCTTGACTGAAGTAAATCATATCTAAAAACAAGAAAGAGAATGATGTCAAAACACGCTCCAATATTAGAGGGGAAAAGAAAGAGAAAATGATGTCAAAACAACAATAAAAACGTATTAAGTGTAATCCCACAAGTGAAATTTGGGGAGCATGATATGTACTATGTACGTACACAACCTTACTCTTACCTTATGAAGTTAAAAAGATTATTTCTAATAGAGTCTCGACTCATCAAGTAAACCATAACCAACAAATAAATAGCAAAAAAGATTGTTAGACAAAAACAAAGTAGTATTATATTCGTTCTTATAACAATACCATACAATAATCAAAATATATAATATGATCCGAGTAACCAGAGTTAACATAAATATAACTAGAACCTATGTGAAAACAAGAAATAAGTATACATACAGTCAATCAATAACAATTCTAAATTATGAATTTGCCTTTATCGCGTGTATGTGTAGAGAAAGAAAGAAAAGGACCTGTCATTTGGACATTGCACATCAACAACCCAATAAGTAGAAAGATAGTTGCAACCAAGTCACTTTTAGTGAACAAGTAGCACAAAGCCATTGAGAAAAAACGGAACATGTAATTTGTATATCAAAAAACCTTTTTATTGCTTCTTATATAGGAAAATATTAAATACACATTTCTTTTCTTGTTCGTTAGCGCTGTTTTTTTAAATTATAGCTACAAAATTAAAGTTGGAGAATCCAACCATACCAAGTGAGGCACTACATGGTATAATAGTGCAATTTTGTCAAAATTGAAGAAAATGTGCACAAATTCTAACCCAAAAGTGATGGAGGTATATGGAATTGTACATGGAAAAAATGGATTGCATTTAATATATTTGCATGATGAGTGTTTATTAGGTTATCATAACATGACACATGAAAATACAATTAGGTCTATTTTGATAAGAACTTACATATATTTACTCATTATTAATTTGTCTTGTTTTTTTAGTATTTTTTTTGAACTATTAATTTAAGTGATTGTGCTTATATTGGTGTATTTTAATAATTATGTGAATTTCGAGCTAATGATCAAGACAACCACCAAAAATAAGTCACGTCCGGTCTTGGGGGCAGAGCTTGTGCCAAGAGGGTTCACCCGAATCTTATTTAATGAAAATTTATACTATTTAATAAGTTCAAATTTTTGTATTCTAGACATGATTTTTAAAGAATTAATTTGAACCTTTAAATATAGTACCGTGAGTTAGGTACAATTTTTGTATGCACATATGATATTTCTATATTCACTTGAAAAGTCTTGAATTAGATGTGCCCCACATCTTCATTAGCTAAAATTGAATAGTATTTGTTATAAAATAATAATAATAAAAATACAAGACAAGAAGAGATGTTGAGAAAGAATATTTTAGAGAGGGAAAAAAATGAAGAAAGAATTAGATGTACAAATCAAAATGAATTGATGTAGTTTTCTATTTTAACCTTAAGAAAAAATGTTGTTACGAGTTTTAAGATTATTCTGTAAGCGCCTAGCTTGATAACAAGGTATATCTTCAAGAAGTTTCTACAAGACTTTTCTAAAAGCTGTTTGCATAAATTATTTTGCCATGTTATTCGCTTATATATGTCTAATCAGTCAATCATGCTACCTAGCCCCGATATTTTAGAAAACAATCTACAAGATGTTTTGTCATGTCCTGAGCCTACACCCTGGGCGGGACTGACACTCGAGAATCATTACTGGCCCCAAGCGGACCCTTGGCCTGACTTACTTACTCAACGGAAGACTTAACTTATCAAGATAAACCCAAACAAAGCATATAATGTTATAAAGAAAACATTCAACTAGCCAATAAGGCAAACTCAAGTCTCATCATAAGACAATGAAATGAAAATACTAAAGAACTAACATATGACTGTCTATGAAGCCTCTAAACAACTGAGATGGATGTCGGGACAACACCCATGACATCCTAATGAACTAATAATAATACTGAAAACAATAAAAGAGATCCTCTAGAAAGCAAGGAGGCTCACCACAAGACTCTGAGTGCTCAACTGGTTCAACGATGCGCTGGATGCTGATCCTGGTTACTTGTGTCTGTATCATTAAAAGATGCATGCCAAATGGCATCAGTACATTGAATGTACGAGTATGCGAGGGGAATGTTAAACTAGACATGAGCTTCAAAATAATCTGAAATGAACACTTACCTTGGCTTTACTCAACTCATGAATAACTTTTAATATAAAGCAATAATGTAAATGCAATATAAAGAAAAACTTTTAAAACATGGATGTCAACTCTTTGTATTTGGAAATACAATAATACTCTGTGTATATGCAAAGATACAATATAACTCTAAAATGTATATAAAAATACATATAAAATGTGTATATAAGAATATAAATACTTATGTGGGAGTTTCTCTTACCGACAACCATCACGTAAGAGCTATTGTGATGATACATCGTTTTGCCTCACGCTGCCAAGGCCTTCCTATACCTTGCCGAGAGTATAGAACCTGAACTACTAAGTGGATCCACT